ATATATATATATTTTTTTTCATGGAAAGATATAATGTTATTATTTTTAATAAACCAATATTACATTATTAGTATAAATAAGAAATTCACATGTATTTCTAAGTGGATTTTTGCTACGAAGGAATGCAATTTGATTGAATTTACAGTGTGCATATTAATGTATAATATGAAAATATAATTTGTTAAAACATAATTGTCTTCTCATTCGTTCATTTTACGACTTTTGTATATACACTTTTCTATATTAAATACGTCATTATAAAAATCATAAAATAGAAAGAATCTATCAAAGAAAAAGAATAAAAGTTCTTTTATTCTACTCACCTGTGGCGTTTGTATATTCTTATTTTTATCAACGATAGGTATATTATCGAGCGGTTGCCTGAAGGCAATGTTCTTGTTCTTGTTGTCGAGCTTCTTCTTATTGTTGTTGGTCGTGCTGAACCGCTTCCACGACAGAGCGTTTATGAACAGCGAGTGCTTTTTCAGATTCTTCTCCAGGGCGTTCTTTTCCGAGATAATTCTTGCATTATCGTTGTTGTTCAGATTAATATTATTGTTTTGTAGCGAGTTGTTGTTGGTTGGCGGATGATTCGTGGGTGGCGCCGGCGCCACAGTGGCAACGCTGCTCTTGTTCTCGCGATTTTTCGCATTGTTCAATTGTTCGTAATTAAAGTTGTTCAACGTAAAATCAGCGGGATGTTGATGTCCCGTTGGCGGATAAACAGAACCGCGACGGTCCCGCGGACTAAACGACAATACCGTCCCCATGGTACTGGCGCTTCGTTCCAGATGTTGCGGTTGTGGTTGCTGTTGCTGCTGCGCCTGTTGTTGTTGTTGTTGTTGTTGTTGTTGTTGCGGTTGCTGCTGACTCGTCGGTTGAGCCTGTTCCCTGCCGTTCTGCGCCGGATGAGTTGGATTCTGACTTGGTTGACGACTCACGTTCGGATGTGGGTGTTGAGCCTCTCGTCCTGGACTAGTCGGATGACCGGGATTTTGCGTCGGCTGGCCGGCGGGATTCTGACCTTGTTGAGCGGGACTCGGATGGCCCGGGTTACCGGGATTGTGGCCCGGATTGCCTGGATTGTTTCCCGGATTGCCCGGGTTGTTTCCCGGATTACCCGGGTTGTGTCCCGGGTTACCTGAATTGTGTCCTGGATTGCCCGGGTTGTGTCCCGGATTGCCCGGATTGTGGCCGGGATTGCCCGGGTTGTGATTGGGATTGCCCGGATTGTGACCGGGATTGCCCGTATTGTGGCCGGGATTGCCCGGATTATGTGTTTGATTACCGGGGTTGTGACCAGGATTGTGGCCGGGATTATCCGGATTGTGGGGCGAATGACCCGGGTTGTAATGCCCGGGATTTTGGGACTGGTGTCCCGGATTGTGGGTCGGGTGACCCGGATTCTGGTGATGTTGGGACGTAACGGGCGGTGGTCTCGGCGGACTCGGTGTAACACGCTGCGGCGGGGGTGCTCGAGGAATCGAGGACTCCCTCGAGGGTCCCGTCAGCGAGGTCGCATCCTCTGGCTCGATGGCCTCCTCCACGACGGGACCCACCACCTCGCTCAACCGACCTCCCAGCCTGCTGATTTCTACCTTCGACTTGAAGGACACTACTTTTCCTTCCTCTCGCGACGTTGGGCTCCGATTTACTTCCTGTTTCTCTGCCAAATTTCTCTTTTTTTATTAAACTACGCGAAATTTCGCGATAGCACTCCCTCCGCGGCGGAGAGTTATAGATAATATGGCGGTCGTTGACGATGATCGATAAGCGGAGAGGAAGAGAGAATAAAATATATTCCAAATATAGATAAACAAATAATATGGCTTTTCCACTTAATGTAGGTCCGCAGCCACTGTACCTTTCGTATCGCTGAAGATGATACGCGGCAAGATGTCGTCGATGCGCGCAAAAGATGTCGGCCGTTGAGCAAAATGGCGAGCGATCGATGCTTTACCGCCCTCCGCCTCTCGGAGGGAGGATGAGCCAGGTGAACGAAAACACTGGATTGACGCACCGAGCTACTCTATTCGATATACTCTGGCTTTGTTTTTCACGTGTCGTATCTGCTCGCTTTCATAGACAGCAGCACTCCGACACTCTTGGAGCACTTTTGATGCACTTTCGATGCACTCTCTCGAACGCAGTTGGATCAGCGTGTTCGCGATCCAAAAGTATCGATTTTTTTTTAACTCTTTGATTATTGATATCATCAATAATCGATATTTCTCTTCGTTGATACCAGCTCTCTTGATTTCTTTTATACGCCTCTCCAATTTTTGAGAGCCCGCGTTTTATCGCAGCCACAAATGATGACTCAAAGCTGTGCTGTTAGAATACTCCGAGTGGACTCACGTACGTATGGATGACTTTCACGGCAGACTTTGCGAATGTTGCAAACAACAACACAACGCGCACGCTTCTTCGGGAACGTTGTGAGAACGACTGAGTAATCCGTTGGCAGACAAACTATTTCTCTCCGTCGCGTGGCGAGTTTCGCTGACAGTCTGCTGCGCTCGTCGTCGGCGACGTCGACGTCGCCGCCGTCGTCCTCGTCGTCGTCGGTCGGCCGTGCGTCCACCACCTACGTCTACGGCCAACCAAGACGTAGCACGCCCCGTTACTGTTATCGGTGCGCGCGCAGTGGTTCGATAAACGCGGAACGTCGATGGTCGGGGGTGGAAACGGATGGAGAGTGCTCACGAAGGAGAAAGAGAGAGGAACGACAGGAGAGAGAAGAAGCGTGGAAGGGTGCGCTACAAGAGCGAGTTCGAGAAAGAGAGAGATGACGAGAGCATGGGGATGCGTCGCGAAGGTGAGACGGCGGACGGAGACGGAGAAGGAACGAAAGAGACGGGAGGAGACGCGAGACGCGGGGGATGAGAGGGTGGTGGACGTGATCGAGAAGGGCAAGAAGGAAGGGTAGTTCGCGTGTAACGTGGGCACGACTGTGTGTATACGCCCAAACTTTTCTCCGACATAACTCACCCCGGGGAAACCCAGGGGAGGACAGGTCGAGACTGCTCTCTTGAGTAGACCGCGGAAATGCCGCTGGAGCCGCGCCACTGCCGTAGATATTTTTCAGGAGGGTCTCACCGACGGCTCGTAAACGTAGGTCGAGATTTTCTGCGGAGGAGCACGCGAGAAAATGAATGAAAGTGGGACGCGCGCGCGATGCAAATAAGCACAACCCGAACCACGGGTAAATATTGTAACTCGCTGAAGCTCGTGCACGGAACGAAATGAATATCTTTTCTGTAAAGTCACATGGGAATTTAGTACTTTAGTCACTTGTGGATTTAGTACCAATGGTAATGGAACATTTGGAGGCCATAAGGATGCCAAGATGAGCTCGCGCACGGAATGCTTCTCCCAAGAAATTGCTGATCGGATTATATTCTTGATTTTTTAATCTCTCTCTCTCTCTCT